GGGGAACGCAGCGATATCCATCAAGTACATCACAGACGGTGTCTCTTACTGTAGTGCATTTACTCTGGATGTAAAGACCTTGACCTAAAAGAGCACATTTAGAAACCCATTCACATAGGCAATACTGCAAAATTACAAAAGGAATACACATGAAATATATAAACATACTTTCAGCACATTGTCTGCACGGGAAGCACTGATAAAGACCATTGGGTTCACTCATGAATGTTCCTGGACTGCAGGGTATACATGTGGTACTGAAATCACCAGTGCAGTCATGGTACACCACTGACCCTGCAAACAACAAATATTAACAAGACACAAGGTGGTGACCAAGCAATTCAAGGATCTCCTGGAAAAATAAAAAAATTATGGGTCCCTATTAGACGTCCCAATTAGACGTCTATACGTTAGTGCCCCTCCTTGTCACAGGGCCTATGACAATACGTGATTATGTTGTTGTTCATAGATATTCATGTGATTTCATAAGTTCTCCAGAGTTGTACAGTTCAGTTTTAGTTGAAGGTGGAGTGGGAGGCAGGGCCAGAGTGGGACTCATTTTCAGCCCTGGAGTTTCATGCCTTATGTTATGTCCTGAGACGTATTTTATTTGTGATTTGTTCTATGTGCTTTGTGTTGTTTTCTTTTGTTTGTTTTTTTCCCTTGTCTACTGCTACCATTCTCATGCAGGTGATTGGGTTCACCTGTTGCTGATTTGCTGCCCATTCACCTCAGCTTCACTGATTGGCTGCAGCCAGGAGAAAGCCAGCATATAAAGCCAGCACTGCCTCACAACAAGCTGAGAGAGATGCAGATTGTTACCTGTCACATGGACTTTTCGCTGGCTCCAGATAACTTTATTATGTCTGCTGTTATTAAGTGCGAACCATTGGTGCTACTGTGGATTTAGTTGGAGACTTATAAGTTTGTTCAGAATTTAGGTTTTGTAAGGAACTTGTAGGGAGGTGGGTGCCTTTTTCTTTAATTGCTTTTCTCCTGGTTATCTGGGTAGTCAAGGAGATAGGGAAGTTCATTTTATTCATTTTCTTTTGGTTTGTGTGGGTAAGTTATGGTTAAAACTGAGTTAGAAATCTTTTTGTTTGTTGTGTTTGGCCTTTTCCCCCTCCTGCAGCTTATGTTTCCCTTTCTTTTTCTTATGATTTAATAAACTTAATTTCCTTTGTTTGGAGGTGTGTTATTGGGGCTGGAGACAAGAGGTCCCTGTGTTTTCTTTCTCCAAAATGTGTTACTGCTAGGTCCATTACCTCTAGACTAAAAGGGCTAGCACGTAACACTTCATGACTGACTATTAAAATGATGTAATTAAAACCTCCGTAGATATAAGTCTGCAATAGTGCACTGTTCTCTACAGCCTGGTAATTGATTGTATTTTTCTAGAGCTTTTGTTTTGATGTATTTAACAATTTACATTTTTTTTTTTTAAAGGAAATTAAGCAACAGAACAAGGGACACTCAAAATATTTGTACTGTAGGCCTACCATAATGGGGGAGCGCGGGACACAAAGTAGGGATGGGAATAGCCCTGAATAGCTCTAGAGTCGGAGTCGACTCCAGCACTGGAATCGATTCTCGTTGTCGACTCCGAGATCGTGGATGTCTTCACTGATTCTCAAATTTCTATATAGTGTCTGGGAATTGAGAGCAATATATGTTAGCAAAGAGTGAACGAAATTAAAATGAAGATCCGTTTGCGGTGCAGAAGCAGCAGCACGGGCTCATTGTGCTTTCACATAAGACGCGTTTGAGCGCGCTATGATTAGCGGCTGTTTGAAACGGGCCATGCACGCGTGCATCGGAGTTGTCGCAGAAACGATTTTCCCCCATACCTTTATCCTACGTGAAGGTTATTTTAGAAATAAATAACAGTCATAGTAAATTTAGTTTGCAATTATACATGCTTCTGTGACAGCTTTGTAGTTTAATTGATACTTTGTTATGCGATGTTATGTTTAATGCAATGCAATTTGGTTTTCCATGGTTAACCTAGGCTGTTTGTGTTCAATCATTAACCTTAAATCATTAAAAACTCACATAATAAACAAATCAATAAGTTTACATTTGTATGCATTTACCAATTGATTGTTTTCTTTAAAAAAAAAAAAACACCAGCTTTTCTAATCTTTTTGTATTCTATCTATTTGTTTTCTTTTAATTTATTATACAATTAACAAATGCAAAAAAGGCCTCAACACTAGCTTGCTCTATTCTTTTTCTATTCTATCAATTTTCTTTTTATTTATTATATAATAAAAAAAATCTTGCTATGTGTACTATGTTAAGCTAACTGAGACTTGTTATAGCACTTGCATATCATTGCTCTTTTGTTGATTTTGATTGCTTCCATTGTCCTCATTTGTAAGTTTCAGTTTGGATAAAAGCATCTGCTAAATGACTAAATGTAAATGGATTTTATGTATTTTTTTTTTTATATATATCAATGCTGTTTAAGACAATAGCGCAGGGGTTAGAGCAAAAAAAATATTTTGACTGAAAATGTTTCCTTGGCCAAACCCCATTCCACAGCCATACCTGTAACACACCCAGTTTAAGAGCAGTTTTTTCTTCTTGTAAAATTGGAGCGCTTGTCCTCCTAATTTAAAAAATGTAGGAGCACCTTCTAATCAATAATAAAAAAATTCTGATCAAAAATTAGCCTTTCTAATACGAGGTGGCATTTGACTCAAAGTGATTTACAGGGGCATTTTCTTTTTACCTTCGTAAATGCATTTTTCTAATTTTATTAAAAAGTATGCAGTGTTTCCTCTAGGATTTTTTCCAACTGTGGTGGCAGGACTAGTTCCCATGGACCACGCTACCTCCCCACCCAAGAATCATATGCACTCAGAATTAAATTTATTTTAACTAAAAAAGACAAGTAAATTGTAAATAATAAAATAAGAACAAATAAATTAATGACAATCAACAGCACAAACAAAAACAATAAGATACAAATGAAATTAACAGTACTTTAATTTTTTCAGTTAGGTCTAACTATAATCTATTGTAAAATACTATTGTTATTAATACTGTAAAATAACACTAGATAGTCTTCACTGTATAATGAAAGACTGCAGCAGGTTTATTTAGGCTGCTGTCTCTTTAAAGGGGTCATATGATGCTTTTTTAAAGATCATTATTTGGTGTAACAGAATATGTTGACATGCTTTAATGTTCAAAAAACACATTATTTTTCAAATACTGTATTCTCGGTCATTAGAAGTATGTGTATAAAACACACAACATTTACCAGACAGCTTCTCTCTTTTTTAACACACTGAATGGTGATACACTATATATTTCTCGTTTTTGTTTTTAGTAGGCATCCAAGCAAAAGAGAATGACTCCCTGTCACAATTAGTGTAATTAAAGTAAAAAAATTATGTCAAGCTTTTGTTTAAAATGCAGTTGGGAAGCATTTTAAACAAGAAATAAAACCAATAATTAATAATTTCCTTTAAGTTCACTGTTGGTTGTTTTACTTGTTAAAATAAGTAAACCAACAAAAGGATTTTTTTTTTATGTCGTCATTTATGCTTTAAAGGGGTCATATGATGCGATTTCAATTTTTCCTTTCTCTTTGGAGTGTTACAAGCTCTTGGTGCATAAAGAAGATCTGTAAAGTTGCAAAGACTAAAGTCTCAAATCCAAAGAGATATTCTTTATAAAAGTTAAGAGTCAGCCACGCCTACCTAAAACGGCTCGTTCTAACATGCCCCCACATATCTACCTCACTATGTGGAAAGATTTGCATAACGCCGCCCAAATGTTCACGCAAAGAAAGAAGGCGTAACTTTTATTCTCACTGTAGTATTGTTTGCCGCCATGCCGAAACTACTTTGTTTGGTCTTCCAAAAGAGATTTAAATTATAATAAGCCTTAAAGTTGTGCATACTTAAGGGCGTGGCCACTTGAGTGACAGGTGGATTGCCGCTGCTGTCACCACCGTCGAGCTAGGTGGGCGTGGCTTCACCAACCTTCTCCCGCCTCTTTGCCCATTTTCGATTATCCGGGAGTGACGCGCTGCCAAGATGGCGACGACCACCTCCACCCACTTTTGAGCTTCAAAAACGCTCTTCGGAAATCTACGGGTGACGTCACGGACACTACGTCCATGTTTTTATACAGTCTATGGTTGATGTAGGGGCTGTTTGATTTATTTATTTGTTTTTTGTTTTTTTTAGGCTTTCCAAGCTCTTTAGTTGATTGGAAAGTGAAAGTGAGGTGTGGCCAAGTATGGTGACCCATACTTGGAATTTGTCCTCTGCATTTAACCCATCCAAGTGCACACACACAGTAGTGAACACACACCCGGAGCAGTAGGCAGCCATATTGCAGCGGCTGCCCGGGGAGCAGCTGGGGGTTCAGTGCCTTGCTCAAGGGTATCGAGGGTGGATGAGAGCACTGGTTATTCATTCCCCCCACCTACAATTCCTGCCGGTCTCAGACTCAAACTCGCAACCTTTGGGTTAAAAGTCTGACTCTATAACCATTAGGCCACAGCTGCCCCTGAAACTTCATAATTCCAAGAAACAAACTTTCTTTCTTTGTTTCTGGTGGTGGCGCTAATGCACCAAAAGTTGGTTTGCCAACCGTTAATAAAAAGGAGAAGTAGAAGACGCAACTTCGCAACAGTTGATTAATTTAGAGGAAGGAGCGAACATGAGGGCGACTTTTTTTATTTACGCATTAGGTAAGATGACCTGTTTCAAGAAAAATCCTCCTCGCTCATCCAAAAACAAACTACTCCAGCATATTCAGTTGTCAGACACGACTGGAACTTAATGGGTTTGGTGAAAACAGGGATAAAAAGTACCCCATGCCCACGGTTGAAATTACACACAATGAATGCTATAAGTGAATTAATGTGTGCTGTAACTAAAAGACATGTGACTGCTCAGTTTACAGTAGACAAATTCTGAAAATCACTTCAAGTCTCTCTCTTTTTTTAATGATATCTTTAAAGAAATTGCAGTTTTGGATACTCGCACAACTTGATACTACCTCAACTTGATAGATGATAAAATTAAGAATTGATCTAATGCTTTAACTGCACTGTGACAGGGTAACTGGCTACTGTATTGTCTGCTCATATTGTCTGCTCCTAAACTTTTATGGTTAAGTTCATTTAAATATTTTAACATTGAAATATTTAAGGGAAATTTTTGGTTTGTATTTTTGTCACACTAGAATATACAGCAGTAAAAAAAGAAAGGAATTTAGATAAATTAGATGTAGGGCACAGATATAACATATAAAACCATAAAAAATATAATCTTTACAAAAGGAAAGGCATAAATACAGAAATGGAATTATAATGCTTAGTTACCGTAAATATTATAATAGAGTACTACAGTTTTTGCTAGCTATACCAAGCATGGTCCCCTTCGCAGCTACAGTCAATAAAATCAAATGATGAAGACAACTCTCTGATAAAAGTAATGACATTTTTTTTAATCACAGTCAAACAACCTTTTTTTTCAAACAAACAATCTATTTTTCCTAAGTCTCCCTAGCCATGTTCTCCCAACATACCTGTCACAACCAACAGAATTAATTCCAAAAACAAATATTTGTTGTTGTTTTTTCAGATGGATGCTTCCAGTGTAGACATTGCAACAATTCCAATTTTAGTATCACTTATTATTTTTAAATGTGTTTATTGATTAATGTTCCTACCAATATTGCACATTGGACAACACTCCCCAACAGTTGATTTATAGTCACTTGGGCCACAAGCTCCTCCAAATGAAAGAACTGTACAAACAACTGTTAGGAAAAAGAATAAGATAATTTAAGAAACCACATAATTTAAAACACTCAATATTTATTTTATGTTTCATTTCATTCATGTCATATTGGCACTAAAATTATCACTTCACCTATGTCTATGATTTATTAATAAAATAAAATAAAATAAAATAAAATAAAATAAAATAAAATAAAATAAAATAAAATAAAATAAAATAAAATAAAATAAAATAAAATAAAATAAATAAAATAAAAAATAAATAAATAAATAAAATAAAATAAAATAATAAAATAAAATAAAGAATCAGCTGCAGAACCAAAGGTGAGCCAAACGTGCTATACATCGTAAAACGTATTGAAAAGTTTTGACGCTTCGCAAAACTTAATAAAACTTTCACTTTCGAAATGAATTCGCCGTTATCTATTCTAATGTTTTGAGTGTGTTATTGCATTTTGACTTTTCAAATCTCAATACAACCGGAACACGTTGCTCTTCGTCTTACCGAAAAGGAGCTCAACAAATCCCAAAAACCGCGTTCTCATGTTGTACAGCTTGTAATAGTCTCGCGTAGCCAGACCTTCAGACTGATGGCAGAAGTTCAGCCAGCAGTCCGTGGGCGTGATGTATGGGATATGGGAAGCCAAACACACCAAAAGTGGGATGAAACAGCGCGGTATTAAAGTGTTCGCGCCGCGCTGACCTGTCATTGGCGCCGCTCAATGGACCGAGCTGCGCGACCGACTCGACAGCGCAGAGAGAACGTGTTTACTAGGCCACCGCCACCGAACTGACAGCGCAGCGCTGATCAGTTACAACAGCGCAGAGGCAACATTACTCTCCGCAGAAGTTCGTGTTTTTTTCCTGCACATAACATAATGAAGATCAGTATTAAGTTATTACATTTCTTTTGCTTACCTTTCTATGTTAACAGTTGTACTTTGAAAAACTGCAAATATAAGACTTTAATAAATTTACAATACCATAGTCCTCTTGAGGAGCACACCCAGCTTCTAGTATATATATATTTTTTATTTTGTACTTAGTTATTATTGTTGTTGTCGTCAAGTTCTACATTCAGCACAATATTGCCCATTTTAAATTTGAACTATTATTAAATAGCCTAGTAGTATATATATGGGATTTGTGTTGTCTCTAGTAAAGGGAACGTTGTTATTTAACTTTAACATTGCAATTTTATATAATGGATACGGTTTGCAAGGCTTTTCTCTACACTCCAAATTAAATAAATAAATTGTAATTAATTAAAAAAAAATCTTTAAAAATTAGGGACAGTGTATGTAAATTCAATATGATGTATTTTGAATTTTGCACTGCATTGTGTTTTAGGTTTATCGGAAAACACATTAAAATTAACCATGATTTTATTACACTAACCTTTTAACCATACATTTGTAGTTAAACTGTGGGTTAAAAAAAATGACAAAATCTATCCATGGTTACTGCACTTTTACTATTCTGTGAAAATTAAATAACATTTGGATGTAAATGGTCGGCATAAAAGTAATGTGCGGCTAAACCGGCTGCGTCCTGTGGATCACCTTTATCTGATTGTCGGGGTCCGGAATCATCAAGCACGGCATTAATATCTTCATCTGAGTTTTTCGTTGTATCCAGATTTCTCTGCAGTTCGTGTATGTTGTTAAAAACGCATAACATCATTTTATTCCACACAACAGGCAAGAATTACCGTTAAGTCTATTATCCGCAGCTCGGTCCATTGAGCCACGCCGATGACAGGTCAGCGCGGCGCGAACACTTTAATACCATCAGTACATTTTACTCTTTTTTTCCAAGTATAATCAAATGCTACAGTTACACAAATATCCTTAAATGTAAAATTTACTTAAAAGGGTTGTTTGGCTTCCCATAGTATGATGTCTGAGGCTGAGACAGCTTGTAAACCTCCACCATCTTTGTCCTTGTTTTAAACCGCCATTTTGAATCTTTTAAACCTTCAGCTTTGGTACGCGGCGCCCACAAGAACAACCTTCACGTGCATTAGTTGTAACATTTAGTATTTTTTATCCTTGAAAACGTTGAAACTGAAGGCGAATATAAGGAACTTGATTTTCCTGTAGAGTAGCAAATAATGGAACTACAATTACAAACGGACACAGTAAGTTGTGAGAATTAAAACAGAATACACCCTTTTAAATATCAACCACGTCATTCAAAACAGTCTTATTTCATGGAGAAAAAAAAGCTAACTGCATATTATGCCTTCATTTTGTCCTCAATCTATTGTATTTCCAGACATTAATTCTTGACTTTCGTGAATTAATTTCGCACGACATCAAAACGTTTAATGTGCTGGGACCCACATGAATGTGACATCTTTCCCTTGTCTGATTATTCTTTAATGCAGATCCTGATGGCTTTTGGCTGTGCCCGACTTAATGCTTGTAAGGGCAGAACATATTAAAATGTTGATGCACCTAGTTTGTTCAATCCATTCAATGACGCCATCAGTATGGCAAACAGTTCTACAGTATAAATATTAAACAATCAGAGATGTGCTTTGGCTGAAACCCGCTCGGTAATAGGCACATTAAAACCAGCAACTGTTGTCTCTGCAGATCTGATCATGTCTTCATCTTTATTAAAGTAATTTTGTAATGGTGTTAGTTAAGGCTTAAATGGAGTTTATTTTGTACATCACAACACAACTGGTGTACATAGCTTTTTGTCTTAATGAAAAGGAAAACTTCTCACAAACATCATTCTCAAGCTGATTCAGCTTGATTAAAAAAAAAGGTATTTTAACCTTAAGGCTTCAGCATATGCCACGTCAACAACAACTATAATGTTCACCATTGCACAAGTTTTTAACATTTTAAGTACACTGTCACTTGTGAAAAACATTATGTACGGAAAGAGTGAACAATTTGATCAACTTAAGTGGTAAATTAACAGGTTTTAGAAATAATCCACATTGTACCAAAAAAGTTATGCAAAAATATTTCAAAAGATTTGTGAAAAGGCTGTACATATAAAACTTAATATAAGCTAAAAAGAAAAAAAAAACAGGATCAGCCTGAACAATGAAAGGGAAGTGCTTGTATATAAACTGCAGCAGAGCATGATGCATCATGATGAGCAAGATGAACAATTATCAATGGATCAAACTCACTCAGAATGCAGACCATTTCTGACAATCTTAAGGCCCGTTCACACCAAGAACTATAATGGTAACTATAACAAACTAAAAAAATAAATAAAAAAATTGCTAGAAAAAAGTCAGAATTGTAAGATAGAAAATCGCATTTACTTTATTTTTTATTCCGTGGCGGAAACAAGCTTCCATATGAATGGGCCTTTAGTGTATTCTTTTAAGTTTTGTTACTGTATATGGGCAAAGACAAATCATATCAAACAGTGAAATCATTCACAGGACCATCAACTTCTCCATCTTTGAGCCTACACACAACTACAGCTTTGGACACGCCCAGTAATGTGACAAAAATTAAAAAAAAAAAAATTATTTCCAAAAAACAAAACAAAGGGTCAGTCGTGGCCTAATGGTTAGAGTCGGACTTGTAACCCAAAGGTTGTGGGTTCGAGTCTCAGGTCCGGCAGGAATTGTCGGTGGGGGGAGTGAATAACCAGCGCTCTCTTCCACCTTCAATACCACGACTGAGGTGAGACCCTTGAGCAAGGCACCGAACCCCCAACTGCTCCCCGGGCGCCGCAGCAAAATAATGTCTGCCCACTGCTCCCGGTGTGTGTTCACGGTGTGTGTGCGCGTGTTTATTCACTACTCACTACTGCGTGTCTGCACTTGGATGGTTTAAATGCAGAGCACAAATTCCAAGTATGGGACACCATACTTGGCCACACGTCACATCCTTTCCTTTCCTTTCCACATTGTGTCACTAACAGTCACTGTCGCTGGAAATCATGAATTCTAATTGAAAACAAACCAATTCTGGTCTTTTTGTTGCTGCAGATCGCTGTCAGTGAAACCAGCCCTTAAGTCTTCTCTCCTAGTAGATGTTGTTCTTGTGTGGCAGAATGTGCTTATGGTGAAAACCTTTATCAGCACAGTCCCTGGAGGGTTTTCACTTCTCCATCACAGGATGATGTGTGAAGAGTAACATACAGTTTCAAGTATCATCTGTTGGTTCCTCATAGCTTTCCTCTCTATAAATAAATATTTTGCATAATAGGATTTTTAGTACATCACGATTTTTATACAAAGAAAAGAATACTGATGGAAATTAGTCCCCCTTACGGTGTTTGGGCTGATGTTGTTTCTTCAATGGGAGTCTGTTAAATAAAACACCAAAGTCCAGTCAAATCTTGAAAGTGTGTGAAATAACTCAAAACAGGAAAATTATTTACAAAACATAATTCCTATTAGGACTAATAAGCAGATTACAATTACACTCGTTTGCCACACAAAGAAACAGCAGCATAATATGTGACGATGAGGATATATTAATGGCATCATGCATATAGTTAGAGTTTGAAAACTTACCTTATATCTTTTATCACCTGCAAAACATAATAGAAATTATATTTAAAATAAAAAAAGCATAACTGCAGTGCAATAAGCATAAAAAATCATTATTAATGTTATATAGGAATTTCACATGACTCATCACTGTCATTATAAAAGTCTAATGAAGTGAAGTGCTAAGAAAAATCTGAAAGTTCTGGATATGATGGGAAGTGATTAGCCAGACTTTTAACTCAACACAAGTTCTGGTTCATATTTCATCTTGTTCCACTTAAAGGTTTTTTCCTTTTACTTTAGTGTGCTTTGTAGCTGTTTGTGCACGTATAAGATCTGCAAATTTACAAAGCTCAAAGTCTCCCACAAAAGGAATTTTTCTATGTAAAAGAGAAGACTGATGCAGACCGGCCGAAAACGCCTCGATTGAATACTCCCTCACATATCTACGTAGAAACATTTGCATAATACCACCCAAATGGATACGCAAAGAAAGAAGGCATGGTTTCAGGTATCGCCATGTCGTGGAGACACTGTGTTTCTATGTGAAAGCAAAAGCACTTTTTTCACTTTCCTTCCAAAAGTGGATGCAATTAGGAGTCTGTGGTTAAAATTTATTTACAACACTGTTCCAGAACAGTACGACCCAAATGTTCGAGTGTGTGCAGTTACAAAGGAAAGTTTCCTGAACCTGGGAGAGTACAGTGTGCAGAAAGGCTGTTTCTAAAAAAATGGGGCAATTCCAAATTTGCTAGGACAATCTGACACTTTTGAATCAGAGCCCATAATTATGTTTTATAATTTTCTATTGACTTTTCAAATGCAGTTTTGGTGAAGTGTAGAGTAACACATATTGTTTGTCGTTCTTACGATCACAAGTGCAGACAGAGATGGAGTTATGTTTACAAATGTAGTATCCTCTGTTCTCTGCTTATAACTGGTGGCAAAAAGACGACAAACATGATTCACTACGTGTTCTGCTTCACACTGGATGCTCAAGTAGAGCTGAAGCAGGACACGCCCATTGTGATATAGTAATGCAAAAAGCATCAGACGCTCAATGAACAAACTGTGGGTAGTCCATGGACATGCTGCCTGAGGTTTAGACAAGGCAGAGACTGACAGCCATGAGTCTTTATATTTCAAAAAGATCATTTTTGTAGAACACTGGGGTCCAAGCAACAGTAAAGCCCATTGACTTTTAGTGTACAGACACAAAAAAACCACTTTTTTTTTTTTTTTTTAAATACCACGATTGACAGCCCTAAACAAAATACAAAAATAAATAAAAATATTTTTTGCTAGGTCTTTTTCAAGTTGATTCATTTACCTCCACAAGATGATACTGCTACAATTTTAGTTAAAATGGATTGCTTTCTGCTTAAGCATTAAATTGCTGTAAGTGAACAAATTCAATAAAAATAAACAATGTATCCACTCACCATTATTGATCTTCTGAGCTTCTGAGCCTAAACACAAGTAGAGTACTACTAGAACAGCTGCAAATATTACAGTGGTCATTAAAAAAGCTATGAGACCATATCTTTTCCTTGTCTTCTGTTCACATGTGACATCTTTTACAGGACTGCCATCTTCTGCCTGAATCTCATTTCTGGCTGCACAGCTTAAGAAAAATGACGACAATACTGAATGAATAACAGATAGAAATTCAAATCAGACATCGCTAGGGATGGGCGATACCTCTTATTTTATTTTCGATCCGATACCGATATTTTCAAGCCCAGTATCGCCGATATCAGTACCGATTAGGGATGGCTCGATACCGATCCGATACCAAAAATTCTGAGTATCTGCCGATACCAGCGCAGTTTTATTAAATGAGTGTAGAATTTCTATACCTCAATGTGTAGGTCGATCATCACTCTTTTGTATGTTACACACAATCTACTAAGTATAGACAGCATCATTATAAAGAAAAAATAACAAACAAAAAAATATAATCAAAATCTGTGACAAAAATACTATTATAAACTAGGTTAATGAATAATTCAGTAGCAAAAGTTACTCTAGAAAAATCATGAGTGCACAATAATTGTATAAAAAACTAAACTTTTAGTGAAAAAAAAATACATTATTTAGTGGGTAACAAATAAAAGTGAATAAGTGTAGGGCTAAATCTGGTAGGCCTACACATTGCTCTTTGTATTGTTGTAAAATACATTCATGAAAAACAAGTAATATATTTATATATAAATATATACTATAGTAGTCAACATCTGAAGTGGATCAAAACCTTTCATCAAAGTTGTCCTAAAACCAAAACAATACCCGTTCTTGTCTTAGGACAACTCTGATTAACTTTTTTGATCCACTTCAAAAGTTGACTACTGTATAAATTAAAAGACATTTCTTTTAAATGTATGGCAGAGTAATGAGGCAGCAACATATGATAGATAAGACGAACAAGAACGGCTATTAATAATCTTTCATTGCGCAAAAGTATTATGATACTAAAGGCTACAAATACAGAGCGGCTCAAAGCGCTTATGCGTATCCCGTGCGCAGAATGACGCGCTTGAAGCAACACGGAGTGTGCGCAGAGCTCCGCATAGAGAAGTTCAAAGCACAAAGTGTAGAGATACTGATGCGTAGTCACTAGTGTATTGAATATGTGCGTTAGTTTATTGAGCCTTTTCTTTTAACAGTTTTGCATTTCTGTTACTGTGCTCATGATGAACAAATTATAGTGCTCTCTACTCCAGTCTTGTGATCTAACCAGATATTCGGTAGAAATTTACACGATTTAGAAACAGCACGAAACTCCAGCAAGATAAATTCCTTTTATGCAAAACCATTTATCTTTATTTACAGATCAAGTATAACATTAGGAACATTTAATCATCTTGGAGAGAGTTTCATCGTCTTGACTGTCATAATAACCGAACGTGACATGCAGTTTGAATGCTGAATGGAGGATGACAGACAGTCGCTGCGGAGAGAAGAGTTTACGTGAACTTGACTTAAATATTCATCTGTACCTCACATTAAACTATGGAAAACCTTCAGAACACTTGAAATATAGTGCACGAAAACTTTATGGTGCTTTATAATGTTTTTGTGGCTTTCGTGGGGCTTAATAATAACACAGAATAGTATACGCACTATATCGGATTTGGAT